CCTACTATCTTATATAGGTCTTGGTCTGTCTTAGCCCCTTCGATTTAGTAGTCCAGTAAGCGCGTTTTGCCCTTCTAACAGTTGTTAAGAAGATCTTTTGCTCCTCTAGGATGGGGGGAGGTATAACTAGCCCAGGTTCCTGGGCCTGCTGGCGCCTAGCCTCGATAGCAGCTCGGTGGGCTTCTGCACACTCTTCTGTCCACCAGGGGGCTCCCCTACCCTGATTTGTCCGTCTCTTACCTACAGCTTGAATAGCTGTATAGAAGAGGCTGACTAGTTGGGTAGCTAGAGTGTCCAGCTCTGCTGGACTAGGTACTTCCCCTAGGGTAGGTAAGGCTGAGGATCCAGCTCTTACTAGGTCGATAAGTCGGGGTAGGGCTGACTCTGGGACTGAGAGGTGGCCAGTCTGGCGTTTCTGTTCCTGGGCCTTGCCTATAGGGATAGTTGTTGTGATAGCTTGGTGGTCAGCCCCTGGGTGCAGGTGTGGGCTAATATAAGCCTCAGCAAAGGGGATATTTGAGAATGTTAGGTCGAGGGTATGCCTATGAGTATGGGTAGGGACCCCAACCTCCCCAATAAACGAAAGATCGTAGCCTTCAGCCCACTCTGCAATATCGTCCCCCCGATTCCGGCTAGGGGAGCCTGGTTCCCAGGTAGGGTGGCGGGCGTTAAAGTCCCCTGCTATAAGGGCTCTTTCTGGCGGATAGTATCCTAGGAGAGCAGTAGTCGTGTGGTTTGTCGGCTCACCTGGCGGCCTATATACGTTGATAATAGTGAAGTTGCCAGCCTTAACCCATAAGATATCTCTCGTTTGGGTAGGCCTTTGTTGCTGTATTTGTAGTCTTAGACTCTTGCGTATATAGGTCATAACCCTAGGTCTTGTATCTCTGTTGTTCCAGAAGTCAACTGGGATATAGGAGTTATAGCCTGGGTGTGTGTTGATTTGCATCTTATCTCTATAGCCTATCCAGGGCTCCTGGATCAGTACTATATCGATCTGATCCGCCCAGCAGAGCTCTAGGAGAGCTGTATGAGCTGGGCTTCTCTTCCCCACGCTACACTGGGCGACTCGTAGTACCCGTGGGGAGGCTGGCCTGAGCCTACTGCTCTGAGTCGAGGTCGAGGTGGGTGTAGGCATTAATAACGTTGTAGTCAGGCTTCTGCGCCACCCGCTGAGCCCTGCTGCTTGAGGTAGCTAGGGTAGGTTGGCTGGGTAGGGGGGGTAGGACTGGGTCGTCAGGGGCTTGCAGCCCTTCTGCTTCAGCCCCATTCTCATCTTCATCCATGCTGCTACAGCTAGCCGCATCACTAACGTCCGCTACAACAATTGAGTCCTGGGTAGGGGTAGGGGCGCGTGGGCGCTTTGAGCCGGGCTGATGGCTCGTTAGGCTGTTGCTAGGTTGCTGGGTGTTGCTGGCTTGGGTGCCAGCCTGGCTGCTCTGATAGAGGGCCTCATAGGCCTTCTGACCAGCCTTACGGATCCGGGAGAGTTCCTTCCGGTCTGGGAGGGTAGGTGTGGCAGGTGCAGGTGGGTCACGTGAGGCAGCTCCTTCACATCTCGGAGCTGCCCCACCTACACCTTGCCCAGATATCCAGCCCAGCCAGCGCTCAGCTTTTCCCATCATCATCATCTGTTGGAACAGCAAAGGCTGATAAGGAGTAATAGGCAGGTACCATGGGCTGGCTGGCACCTGCCCTGGGCGAAGTGGGACAACTGGCTTAGTCATCACGGCCGGATAAAGGTGGGGCAACCACCCAGGCCGTCACTACCTACTTCGACCGACTCCTGCCTACAATGTAAGATAGAAGAACAACAAGAAGAACAAGAAGAACAAGAAGAACAAGCAATAGGATCACCAACAGACGAGTGATAATTGCTACCACTATTTGTCGTATACGACCCCGTGAACCAACATCATCAGATCCAATACAGTAGTATTGCCTCCACAGTAGGGGAGCCATTAACCACTAGGGGCCTTGCTGGACAGTCCTTATGGTTAGCTTGGAAGGGGCCGGAGCAGTTGGCGCACTTCGGTCTAGCTATGCAGGGCCCAGTCTCGTGGGATCCCGAGGGCCTGCTACAGTTGCTACAGAGTGGCTGTCGGTGACAGTAATTATCGGTTCGAATGATATCCCTGGCATCCAGGATCATGTCTGATTAGGGTCTTCTTCTTTTGGATAAGCTGAGACCTGCTGCTTTGGTTAAACAGTCTGAAGGGTGGTACTTCCACAGAGAAGGAGATGACCCAGGAAACTTCGTTTATAATAGGGTTTACACCTAGCCGGGACTGCTGGGCCCGGGTAGGCTTACGTCCTGTTTGGTCAAGGACCTCATCTTCTACCAGAGTAGCTGGGTCAAGGGCGTCGCCATCAAGAGTCCACATCTTAGCAGGGCAACGTGGGACGACGTAGGTAAACCACTTAGTAGGGGTCTCAACCTTATAGGCTCCAAGACACTCTGCTAGTTTCTGTTTGTTTGCAAGGAGGGCTTGCTGGACCTGCTTATTCAGGGGTCTCAGTGAGTAGCCAGTTGCAATATGGTAGATGTGTGGGATATCTGCCAGCTGGAGCCTAAGGGCCTGGCAGACTGTCCGGCGTAGGGCGAAGGGGGCGTGCTTCCTAGCAGCCGCTAGGCCCTCTTCTGGGATACGGGTAAAGACCCGGAGGTCCTCCTTCGGTTGGGATAGAGCCTGGGCCCGGGTCTCCGTCAGACTCTGTGTCTGGACTTCGGGCCGGGTGGGGATTCGGGTACGGGTCGGGGCTACGGCCACGGCTGTAGTCGAAGCCGAGGCTGCTACGTCAGTCCATTTCCGGCTCGGAGCCGGAGCCGTAGTCTCGTTACCCATAATCCTCTTCAAGGCTTGGATTACATAGGTTGTAGCTTCTTTTGCAATCTGCTTCCTAGGCCCCTCAAAGCAAGAGATCACGTTGTCCACAGACTGAGCAATAGCCATAAAGACGTCCTTTCGGGCTTCACAGTGCTTAGCCTCTTCATTAAGAGCTGTAAGGACAGCTCCAGTAGCTGTCCCAGTCATAGTCGAGGGCCCCTTAGCCGTTAAGGGGGTTGTTGTTGGGGCGTCGGGCTGGCTTCCCACGAGGCTGGGCCGGAGTGGCTGGGCCTCGGTTTCGCGGCGGCGTTTAGCCCTTGAGGATGGGGGCGGCTCTGAAGAGGGTCCAGAGCCTCGATCAGGGCCGGCCGAGGAGGCCGGCAACGGTCCAGAGCCCGCCGGAGGCTGCGAGGCCATCGCGGGAGAGCGCCGGAGGAGAGGTGAAGGGTTTTCAGCTGTTAAGGATTTTGGTGGTAGCCCACTTATTACACTAACAGTAGATGCCAAGAAAATTAGGCGAGAGGGAAGTTGTCCATCCGTACAAGGAGAAGCTAGTGAAAGCCTGGGTTGATCAGCACACGCACTTTGGCAACGTAGCTACCTCGCGGGTTGAGGGCATCCATGCTCTGCTCAAATCGCACCTAAAGAGATCCACGTTAGATCTGTTCGAGGCTTGGCGAGCGATGAAGCACGCGTTACTCAATCAGCTCTCGGATCTGAGATCTAATCAAGCCAAACAACAGACACGAATACCGGTCGAGCTTTCGGGAACAATATATGGCGCAGTACTTGGCTGGGTATCGCATGAAGCCCTCCGGAAAGTAGAAGAGCAGCGGAAGCTGCTCAGTAAGAATGGCACAGACCATTCCTCAGTCTGTACGGGGGCCTTCTCTCGTGTGTACGGTCTGCCATATCTACACAAACTAAAGGCTTTACAGGAACAAAATCTTGTTCTGCTACGTGAGCACTTTCATGCGCATTGGCACCTGAGGCGTGAAGGAGCGCCGCAGTTGTTACTAGAGCCTCGCCAGCGCATCGAGCCCAGGTTGCAATCGGAGAACCCCCGAATTCCGAAGTCAAGCACTAGGCGAGAGCTAAGTGGGTTTGAAATCATTGGAATTTCATCACGGGCCCCAAGCACATGTAGCAGGTGTCATATGGCTGGCCATACTATGACTTCGAAGGCGTGCCCTCTGCGATACTCGCATTTATTACTTGAGCCAATGCCTACTCCGGGTCTAGTTTTGATACCGAGTGCGGGCTGTTCTACTGCACGGGAAGTTACGGAAAGGCTTCTATCGAACACTATACAATCCATACTAGCCTTGGCTCCATCGACTATAGATGGAGCAGTGGATGCCGGGATATCACCACCTGACGTGCAATCGCCGTCTCGGCGTTCGCCTTCACCCTCGCTTCCAAGATACGATTCGCCCCAGACAATATACGAACGATATTGTGCAGCGAGAAGCGCCTGGTATGCCGCCCAGCCTCGTGGAAGTGTCAAAACAAACCAGGAGTATCGGAGGGCAATGGGTCTTCCACTACGTTATGGGAAGAAGTCTTATGAGTGGTGTCTTGACTATAAGCAGATGAACAGACGCTGCACCACCTCCAAGGGGTCAAGAGATTGGCTAAAGGAAGTGATGATGGCTTATCTAGACTGGGACAGAGCTGAGCAGGAACGGGTTGATGAGCTTGTTTTCGCTGAGGAGGGAGACAACCCTTTTCGGAGTAGCAGCAGAGGTATAGGCGATATCTAGAATCGAGTCGCGAGAGACAACGCCGAACGGGAGGCGTTGTATGCTGAGAATCTACCCGAAGAGTATATTATGGTTAAATCGTAAATTGAAAGGATAATTGGAACCTAAGTCGCGCCTCCGATTGGCTCAAGACCCGTGCCACCAGTTTGCTTAGTCATTTTCACGGGTACCCGTGGAATTTTACATGCACGGGTACCCGTGAGCCTATTGGGAGCCCCACTACGAGATAGGCTTACCTCATCTGCCAACTCATTGGGTCCTTGTACGGATAGGAGGTTCCCCTGTCGAGTCTTGACGGGTAATGCTCAACCGTAGCGGCCCGGGACTTGATCCTGTCTTTCAGCGTATGTATGTACTCCTCTAGTGCCAGCTAAGAACCGGTTTCCTGGAAACTAGGGCAGATGATCTAGTTGTCGTAGGTCAGTGACGACAAAAGCAAAGGCCTGCAAGTATGTCTAGATTGGGTTTCCGTGTTCAATGCGCCGCGGCGTTCCAGCCTGTCACCTCCATATCATCCCCTGAAAGCCGGTACATCAGAGACAACAACATACCCAGCAAAACGCGGTGCCGGATTGCCAAAACAGAAGTCAAAAGACATACAACACCAGGTATTCGCTGGTCGTCACCGACCCAACTACTAATCCGGCCCTCATTGGCTTATCTATGGGAGAGCGGACGGGATCCCGAGTTTTCCAATGGGTATGGTCGTATGTGACAGAAACGCGAGGCATAGCTGGACATATCGTGACAGCGGGAACTAGGCGATGCTGGTGTTGCGGCTCTGCCCTTCGTCCCCATAACCAATTCGGGAAGCTTTGCGAATGAGCCTGACTCTTTTATTGGCGTGTTGTTCTTTTCTTCAAGGTCCATGTTTGGTTTTTGTTTTGATGGTGTGGTGTTTTGGTGATATCAATCTGCCTCACATCCTTAGCCTGATCATGTTCCCCGCCTTGTTACTGAAAAACTGAGTCGACAAAGGGATGAAGAAATGGTGTAAGCTCCATCTAAATGAAACGACCGCGTTCTCATCAACTTATTGTCCTGTAAAATGATGGTTTCATGGCTTTTAAGTGCTTGTGTCATACGACAGGGAAGCAAAATTGCCACCGCATCTCAAATCCGCCGCCACTTGAGCGGCAGGAGGAAGTACAATCAGAAAAGGCCACTCAATACCAATCTGGATATCATCTCGGGTAGAACACATATATCTAAGGCTTCTAATCTCGTTAACATTCTCACCGAAATTATGTCCTACATTGCGGGATTGCTGATGAGCATAGCATCCAATCATACTTAAAGATTGTACGGAAAGGCATGGTGTTTACAGTTGTTGTTGTTGTTCTATTTAACGCCGTAACGGCAAGGGCGCAGCCGCCCTTGCGGCAGACCTCCCGAAGGGTATATGGCGTGGAGGGCCGTAGGCTCGAGCTATATACTCTATAGTACACGCCTCTTCCTAACGTCCTCCAAATCTTGCCCGTAAGCTACTGTCTGTTCTATCCGTCCCTAGTTCCCGCTGGTTCCCTAGTTCCGTTGTTACCGTCTGTCCCTCTAGGAGGAGAAATTCGTTAGTCGGGCCTAGGTCAAGACCTAGTCCTTAGTACCGCGGGAAGATCTTCTGAAAGAAGTCTGTCACGCGGAGAAAGGCCTGGAAGCCAATAGGATCAGTAATTAACCCCTTATAGTACCGCTCAAGAGATCCTATAGGTCCTATAGGATCGAGTGGGCTAGAAGGGTGGAGGGTAGGCCACTGATGCCTCCTCACTAGGGTCTTTTGGCAGTAGACTAGATGGTCTACCGCCTTTGCCTCCCCGCAGGAGCAGGTAAGCAGTGCTTCTGTATGGTTAAAGCGTTGGTGGTATTGTTCGAAGTCTCCATGGCCTGATCGGGCTGCTAGGAGATGATGAAGGATAGCCCGCGGCAGGGCTAGTTCGGGAGCGCAAGCGAGGGTGGCCTTGAGTCCTAGCTGGGTATAACAGGATGTTGCCTCCCGTTTCCACCATTTTTTGTATTGGCGACGTGTACGCTCCTTAGCAAGCCGTATGGTGTTTACAGGACATTGCGACAACCACCTTGCCAGCAAGGCCTTCATTCTGTTCAACCTCGGTCTTCACGTTGCGTCTCCAGCTTCAGGTGCCCGCGACTGCCGGGATGCACAGAGTTTTCGGAGCCCGTGTGCGCGAATCGTCGGGACGGTGAACTCTTGTAGATATGGTTTCTGCTTGGGCGTAGAAAGGCAAGGTCGGAGAATCCGGTAGAGACCTTCGGGTCAGCCAGTGAGTCTTGACCGTTAACGATCTACACTGAAGATCGAATCATGAAAATTTGAGTACACCTATGCAGGAGGGGCAGGCGCGAGAGTGATCACGAGTTCCCCGCACCGTCGACACTGCAGGAAAATGAATTGGGATAGTAAACTTTCCAAAGAGAAAGCCATGCTGGGGTAAAGGTACGAACGAAATGTGTTGCGGTTGACTTCACGAAAGTCTCTACTCTTTCTTCGTTTTCCCTCGCGGTTCAGTTTGATACATATTCGGAACCAAGAAAATGACCTGACAGAAGGCGTTTATAAGAGGGGCATTCTCCAAGGTAGTCCTCTTACAACAGCATCATCTTGTCATTGAAGTGCTTTACTTCTCTTATTGGACAGCATTCTTCACGGGAGAACCTGAGCCGCGCACTGGAAACTGGTCGAGGCAATCCTCAACCCACATTTACTCCCTCAAAAAGTACATGGAAGTGGTTTCCTCAGTTTTTGGGGAGAATGAGAATTTTCGCCCATGTACTTCACCCAGGCATCACTTCGTACATGTATCCCATAAGACGGACGCCTCATACTCTACAAGGTCACTCTTCAGCAGCTCTTATGTGTTGCTTGGCTGCTATGGACCGAGGTTCATCTCTCGACGCGAGTATGGAAGACTGTGTACTTTGGTAGAAGATGCAATCTGATGCCGGAATCTTGCACCCGCACGCTTCAGTCTCGGACGAGCTCTGAGGGTGAAGTCCGCGAGTTGACATGATCACTGTCGGATATTCCTCGTATGATGTATAGCCATGAAGCCCAGTATGCTCGTCTCGCTTCTGCGGAGCGAGGTAGCTGCGCCTTCAACATGGGCCTTGGCCATACATCCGGGAATTCCAAGGCCCGCGATAACACTCGTAGTCCAGCAGAAGAAGAACTCCCAGGCCTGACTGAATGTCAATACATAATCCACAGAAAAGAAAACACTCAAAGTTAGATCAAGTGCAAAAGTGACACATACAACTGTCATATTAGGAACCAAAGTAAATTTCCGTTGTCTACTCATGTCACGAAGCTGCACGTACGACTTCGCGGGTAACACCGAAGGGGCGCTTAGAGTGACGGAGAAGAAGATTACACAACGAGTAGAGGAAAGCCAGACCTGTTTGCTCCAGAACAGTTAAGCCTCCCTTGATAACTCCAAGTCTTTTGGGGCCAAAATGGGACTCAGAAAGGCCTGGGTCGTACGCTTGGATATATATATCGGTCGACTGCTTAACTGTAACTGGGGTTTCCAGCCGAAATCAAAGCGTTGGAAATTGAGACTTCTGCAAAGCTGCATTTGGTCCAGAAGAGTCGGATGTGGCAACGTCTTAACAAGGTACAAAACAATTGTCAGATAGGATAGAGAAGAACTCTATGGTTGCTTGACGACTTGGTGCTCCTATCATCCAAGGTAAGTTCGCCTCGGAGGCCGGACGGCTACGTTCCCCACTCTCATTGGACCGGCGCCGATCCGGATGGAACCGCGAAGCCGAACCCCCGGGAGCTCCGGGGTTCGGGTGTCCCCTGTCAGACCCCACCATAGCTCCGCCAATGTACCTATTTCGACATTGACGGAGTGCATCATCGTGAATGTCTCACTAGGAACATCATGCAACATGGCAAGGTAAGCGGTCTGGCTAGTCTAGATGATGTGTAGTAAGCGAGCGCACTCTGTTAATGTAGTAGCAGGAAGAAATCAGCGAGAGCTCTTGACATTGACGATGTCAGTTTCGAGAACTCGCATGCATAAGCAAAGTGTCCGGTATTATGCAAAGCAATTCAGTGGTAGTGGTTGCGAGACTCCCCTCGCAACATTTCACAGAGGCGACGGTTGAGGCTGCAATGTTCTCACATTCGATCAGACCGACAAGCTAATCAACTCAACATTAGGGTGAGTAGCAAACTACACTTGCGCCAGGCTTCAATCGAATATGGAAAACACCGAGCAATTCGCATAGATTGCAGATTCGATGTTCAGTGGCATGTGAAGCAACCACCAACAAGGGTGTGCATTACACGCCTTCTGATTGGTTGTGGCAACAGAGCTTCCAGGCCTAAAGTGCGAGGCTGCGATCTTTTCCCCATAGCCTTGTGGCGCCCACTTCTACTTCTTCCACACACCTGCCTAATCACCTAGTTCTTTCTTCCGCAAATAAACCCCGACTAGCGAGACGCTTCGCCGAGTCTTTGAGACTGCCAAACAGGCATAACCGAGCGACCGAATCCGACGTACGAAGCAGCATAAGGATCGAGGCCTCCGAACGACGTCATCCATCATGGCCGACTCCGATGGCGAGTACCATGAGATGTCCGATGATGACCTCCAGGTCGCCAACGGGAGAGGCGGCGATGCGAGGAAGGGAGGAAAGAAGGGAAAGAGCAGCAACTCCAAGGCGCGGTGGGAGGAGGTCAAGCGAAGTTGGGAGCAAGTCACAGAGGGCGCCGACGGCAGTCTCGCTGTCGGAGCGAGCTTGGAGGCCGAGAAGAGGAGGAGACTACTGAGAGACACAACACCACTGCAGCGCGGCATTATCAGACATCTGGTGCTGGTGCTGGACATGTCATTCGCCATGACCGAGAAGGACATGCTACCGAACCGCTACCGCGTAGCCTGGGCGTACGCGGCAGACTTTGTGAAGGAGTACTTTGAACAGAACCCAATCTCGCAGCTGGGCATCGTCGGCATGCGGGACGGTGTGGCGCTTCGAATCAGCGAGATGAGCGGCAATCCGACAGACCACCTGGAGAAGCTAAAGGAATTCGAGGGCCAAGATGCGTCGGGCAACCCGAGTTTGCAGAATGCGCTCGAGATGTGCCGTGGTGCACTTTTGTACGTGACAACGCCCACCCCCGAGCTCTACAGACACATTACTGACTCTGATCCGATAGCCACGCACCCTCCCACGGCACACGAGAAGTCCTCATCGTCTACGGCGCCCTCCTCTCCTCCGACCCCGGCGACATCCACACCACAATAGAATCCCTCATAGCCGATCGAATCCGCGTAACGATTGTCGGCCTTGCGGCGCAGGTCGCCATCTGCGCGGAGCTATGCAGCCGCACCAACGCCGGTGAAGAAACACAATACAGCGTCTGCATGAACGATGCCCATTTCCGCGATCTCCTCCTCGCCGCCACGACCCCGCCCGTCACCCGGACGGCCGCGCAGAGCACCGCCTCCCTGCTCATGATGGGCTTCCCCTCTCGCACCCTCGCGCAGGGCGAGACGACGGCCGTATGCGCCTGCCATAACAAACCCGCCCGTGAAGGCTACCTTTGCACGCGCTGCGCTACCCGCGTGTGTCGTCTGCCCATCGAGTGCCCCGCCTGCAGCCTGACACTCATTCTCTCCACCCATCTCGCGCGCTCATACCACCATCTCTTCCCGTTGAGGAACTGGGTCGAGGTTCCCTGGGCCGCAGCCGCCAAGTCAAAAGCATGCTACTCGTGCCTTGCCAACTTTCCGGAACCACCCAAGACCTTCAAGAAGAAGGACAAAAGCAAGGATCAAGATGGCGTTCCTACGACGACCGGTCCAGTTGCGCCGACCCCGGTGAAGGCGGCAGAGCTCAAGGGGGTCAGCGAAAGTGGACGATACGCCTGCACGGTGTGCGATAATCACTTTTGCATCGATTGCGACGTCTACGCGCATGAGGTCATCCACAATTGCCCTGGATGCCAAAGTGATACCCGTAGGGCGGCAATGGAGATAATCAACGAGACGAATGGGACGCATGAGCATCAAACCAATGGGACAGCCATGGTGGTGGACTCATGACGTTAACAGATCTACGGGAAACGGGATATGGGATGGAGGATCTTTAAGGACATGTGGAGCTCCACGGCAGAGACAAGAGAGAGGGAGATAGAGAGAGAGCAGGGCTCTGGCCAGAATTGGCCGACATTCGGCAGTTTGCATTTGGACAAACGGATGCCAGCATCAGCGGAGCACAGGAATTGGAGAAAAGAGTATATCGGCGCAAGGGGTCCGGATAAGGACCATGTTTATAAATATACCTATTGTACCCTGCAGAATCCCACCAACATTGAAAAAGCTGGCCGAGAGACAAGCATCATGGACTCGTGATTAATGCAGTCACGAGTGCGAATACGAACAATTGTGACATTGAAATGGGGTTTGATATGGCTTAACTAGCTTCTTCTGCTTTTACAGGTTTCCACGCTCGGCCTGCTCACGCTCAATGGCCTCGAACAAGCTCTTGAAGTTACCAGCGCCGAAACCCTCAAATTCATTGCGCTGAATAATCTCAATGAAGACGGTAGGGCGGTCCATCAGCGGCTTGGTGAAGAGCTGAAGCAGGTATCCCTGCTCATCGTAGTCGATGAGGATATTGAGCGCCTCAATGGTGGCGAGGTCCTCCTTGAGCTCCCAGTTGCGCTTCTCCGTCTTGAGGCGGTGGCGGATGGTATCGTAGTACGTCGAGGGGACATTGATGAACTCGACGCCGCGGGCGCGCATGGCCGACACGGTGGTGATGATGTCCTGCGTCAAGAGAGCAATGTGCTGGACGCCGGCGCCCGAGTTGAAGACGACGTACTCCTCGATCTGGGACTTCTTCTTACCGGGCGCGGGCTCGTTGATGGGCATCTTGACCATGTTGTTGGCCGAGGCCATGACGATGGAGTTGAGGGCCGAGAACTCTGTGGAGATTTGTGAGTCGTCGACGGACCAGAAGCGGTGGAAGGAGAGGCACTGCTCGTAAAAGGCGCAGGCGGACACCATCTCGTTCCAGGACTGGTTGCCGACGCAGTGGTCGATTCGGGCCAGGGGAACGTTAGGGAGCGTGACGGTGGCCGCGGTGGGCTTCGCGGCGCGGAAGCCCGGGAGGAAGGGGCCTGAGTAGCCGGTACGGGAAATGAGCGTGTGTGTGGTATCGCCGTAGGTGCGGATGACGGCGGTCAGGACGTTGCCGTACTCCTTGTCCTTGAGGACGGTTGGAGGCTGAACGGCATTGGCGCCCTCTGATACGGCCTTGTTGTATACGCCCTCGACATTGTCGACCTCGAAGGCGACGTCCTTTACTGCGTCGCCGTGCTTCTCGAGATGGGCATGAATCTCGCGCAGGAGCTCTCGCTCCGCGCCTGAGATGGGCTCATCCTCGGGGAGATGGGCCAGGGACCGCACCGGGGAGGTGAAGACGAAACGGACGTCGTTGTTGGCGACGGCGTATGAGGCGATGTACCTGCTGCCCGTTTCAAGGCCCTTGTATGCTACGGTTTTGAAGCCGAAGAGAGTAGTGTAGTAAGCAGCGGCCTGCTTGGCATTGCCAACCCACCAGGTTACGTGATCGTAGCCCTGGAAGTTGGGCGGCGGAAGCTGCACTGCGAGTCCATCGCCGAGATCTGTTGATGCCGGGTAGGCGGCGTTCTGTGGCGGGGAGTCTGTGATTGCAGAAGGGGACATTGACACTCAGAAGTTTTCGGGGGTGAAAGGACTAGGGTCGAGGAGGTATGGGTGTGTGTAAGTGCGTTGGAATTCTCTGAGAAGAGGCAGAGTCGATGGTTAATCTAGTGAGATTGTAGACGTTGCTGGTTGAGGAAAGGGGGGTAATTGTCCGTGTTATGTACGTCGTACCGTCCATTCTATATGTACCAAGACACTGACACTGTATTATCAGATATGAACCTTATTCAACGACGGACTTCCGCCTTTGGAGGACAAGGACTTCAGTAATCCTGCATTCCACGCCCGCAGATTGGTGGCTCCCCGTCGCCGCATCTAACGCTTGCCACTGGCTGACCTTCCCTCCCGGGCGGGGGTGGTCTCTGGATCCTGTCTCCGTTCACAGTCCTTGCGCATAGGCAATTCGTGACGGGACGGGCGCCATCCTGGAATGGCTTCGATTCCTGGCAGTAGCGTCCCGAAGTAGAAGGAGAGGTTGGCAGCGGTAAAGCGTAGAGGTGAGATGCCAATCGCATGCGGAAAGGCGCCGGCCGAGTGTGATGGCCGCAGTGAGCCGCGATAAGCCGCCGCTGGCCGGCCCATGTGCGGCGCGGCTTTGACGGGTTCCCCACCATGCTTCGGATGCTCCAGGCTATGCCCGCCATCCCGCGCAGCACCCTCCCAGATCCAACCTGGAATACAAAGAACATGAGGGCACAGGCGACCAAGCCGCTGTTTCCGTTCATCCTGGGGAACGTCTGGGCTCTCTTCTTCAGGGATGGGTGGGGTACCCACCATGACGGCATGCCTTATCGCACCGCCTCTGAAACCCTTTCGTAGCCGTCGCAGTGCGGAATGTTAGGACCTGCTGGTCGGCCCCCCGCTGGAGCCGCTCGGAAGGGGTTGCGTCTGATAAAGGTTGCGGTACTGCCTGCTAGGCCTGGTAGTGCAAGTCACTTTGAGTTCGGGAAAACGTGTAGTCGCTCAATCGTCACGTATCGGGAAAAAAGTTCGATTTATCTCGAAGCTGTTCCCTCGACAAAGAACATCAGTATTCTTTCCCAAACTGTCCAATCTCCAATTCAACACTGCAAAATGGTTTCCGTGGACCTGACTCGACGAGACGCAAACGTACTTGACAAGATCAAGGACCCCGAATCCGATCCCTCGGCGAACGTCCTCCTCGACCCATCCCTGCCCCGGGATCCTCACATCACTGATGCCGCCGTCTATGAGCGTGTGATACAGAAGGAGCGCGAAATTATTCTGTCCATGCAACAGCTCGAACTCCAATTGGCAGGATTGCGACCGAAAACTGTATCCGAGCCGGTACAAGAGTACAAAGGCCTTCTTTCGAAGCTCGACGACTTCATCGAAGAGTACCCCAACTATGCCAGCGCGAGGAACAATCGCGTACAGGCACTAAGGCGGCTGTACGGAGACACGATGCTATTAGCGGGAGCACCACACACGCCGCAGCGACTCGTCCAGGCACCCGAGACCGCCGAGTTGATCCAGCACTCAAAGACCGCCCTGGAAGACACTGAGATGTCCATCTCCCTCTTGACGCCGCGCACGATGTTCGGCGCCATGTCGCCTCAGGCTGCCAAGACCCTGTCGCTGGCGTACACGCAGCGCGCCGCAATCTACCACATGACTGCCAAGCTCGTAGAAGAGCACAGCGTGCAGGTCGCCGAGGGGAGGCGAGAAGTTAGCTGGACGAAGCTCGTGTTCGAGGAGGCGGCGTCTCGGGACTTTGCCTATGGCGGAAGATACGGCAACGAGGTCGCGAAGGGTCTGGCAGTGAGCACGAATCCCACGGCGAAGCTGTGCGGGCAGATTGTTCGGGAGGCGATGAAGAAGGAGTATGGGCCGTCCTACGGCGAGTAAAGGGTATATGTAGTATCAATAACTTGTGAATGCAAGGCAATGCGATTGAGGCATTGCATTTCCTCCCTTGCCAATGGTTATGATGATGAGTGCCTATGCGGAAGCCTTGAGAAGCCCCAGACGTCTAGAAATCCAGTTGAATTAGTCAGAGCTCGCATCAGTGTACTGCTGGTAGCTGCCATACCTTTTCGCCGCGGCAATGGTCTCCTGCGTAGTCCTGCCCTTTTCCTTCTCCTCGCGATTGATTCTGGTCGCAGCGGCACCAAGTCCAATTACCAAGGCGAAGATGGGGTCAGCGACCTTTGAGATGATGTATGCAGGAGGAGCAGCCATGATGTGCGTTGTGGTGTATCGTCGTCGCGTGAGGTCTCGTCGTTCGGGGAAAGTGGTGAGTTTGGACTGTTGTTGAAATGGATCGGAGGAAGTTTGCGAAGAGCTCCGTGGTCAGCTTGGGAAGTGGAGCAGATTCATGGCCGTACACGGTACCTGTGCTAGTAGAGCTCCAGCGCGGACGCCGGTCAATGGAAGCGTCCTTCCATTGCCAACGGCCCCCACTTGCAGCACCACCCACCACCATTGATTCGCCTATTCTCCAGTAAAATTTCAACCACGTGACCGGGCACATGCTTAGGTCCCTCCCTCCCACGGATCAATTTTGAAATTTCCTTTAGGTTATCAAATCCAGGCTCTCACGTCGCAGCAACTTTCACCAACCGCCCAGTACGCCCAGCACCCACCGACAGCGCAGGTCAAAATGAAGTTCCTCAAGGTCGGCAGAGTCGCCATCATCACCCACGGCCGTTACGCCGGCAAGAAGGTACGATTACATACGAAAATCTCGAGAAAGCCTACCCCGTCGCAGTACTATTTTCACCCGACTTCGCGAGAAGGAGGGGTGTGGATGAAGACAACCCAACATCGACGCCGAGAAGTGTGAAAGTGTTTGGTCAGGAAATCACGGGAGGAAATTATGGCGACGACTACACGAAACGATTACGAATTTCGAAAATATAGGAGGGAACACCGGCCGACCAAACACTTTTCTACTTCTCGAGCGTCCGATGACTGAGGGCATCTACGAATATTACTGCGGAGGAGGATAATAGTGGACTATGTTGGGCGACGACGCTTATACATGCAACGAACCCGAGCGATTGCTAACGTTCCTCTCTGCAGGTCGTCATCATCCAGCCTGTCGACTCTGGCAACAAGGCTCACCCCTTCGGCCACGCCCTGGTCGCCGGCATCGAGCGCTACCCCTCCAAGATCACCCGCCGCATGTCCAAGACCCGCCAGGACAAGCGCAACAAGATCAAGCCCTTCGTCAAGCTTGTCAACTACAACCACTTGATGCCCACCCGCTACACTCTCGAGCTCGAGGGCCTCAAGGGCGTCGTCAGCAACGACACCTTCAAGGAGGTCACCCAGCGTGAGGATGCCAAGAAGCAGGTGAAGAAGGTTCTGGAGGAGCGTTACACGAGCGGAAAGAACAGATGGTTCTTCACGCCTCTGAGTATGTTACTCTCTTCCCCACGTCGATCGTGTGCTATTATTTCTCGGGGTTTCCCTCCCCCAAGGAAGAGAGGCTTCGCGTCGAATACTGATATCCCATCCACGTACTAACAACCATCGCGCAGGATTTTAAAGGACAAACCGTTTTCTGCAATCGTCAACAGGTCGGGGAGTTGGGCTGGCTTGTAAAGAGCATCAATTGGCATTTGAGGTCCTCGGTTTAAGGGCTCTCCCAATGACAAACCATTGAAATCCAAGACGTTTGCCCTGTGATACCTCAACAACAAATGGAAAAAAATGCCGCCGCTGCTGCTGTGACCGGAAGAGTGATAGACACAAAAGAAGATGAGATTTAAAAGGGGTCAAGGGTCTATGATGACTGATGGGTATGATTCAGCCCTCGGCCGTGGGATGGCCATGATCAATGGAACATGAAATAAGCAAGTCAAATCAACCTTTTCCAGCCAACCTCGAGTCGTGATGCCTTGCTATATCCTATTCTGCGCGCGTGCTTCCAATTTCATGAGGTTTGAGTGCTGCGTCGGTGCCCACCACCACCGCTCGAGGTGTTGTACCCGACCCACATTGATTGTTGCACAGAATATTGCAACCCACCCACACAACCCTCTACGACAAGCCAAGACCGAATTGCTGAAACCACGACTCACGTTAGATGTTGATACCATCGTCGTTTAGATTGTGCATTTTCTTGTGGCGAAGTAATGGCGACTGATTTGACGCTGGCCAACTGATGATGTTTTCTGGCCCGCTACGTCACAGTCAACGTGGGTAGTCGTAAGCCAGAAACACCTTTACTGATCCAACTTCCCATTCGCGTAATCAGTTCGAGATTCCTAGCAAATGGTCTCAAAGAGAGCCGAGTCGGTGCATTCCTCCACTACTGGCATGCAAGTCTCGAGTCACCTGCACATCGTACAACATGTCACCAGTAATTTGTTTGCGGATTACCTCCATCTTTTGCTTTAAGCTTTGTGTATCATTGCGTACGTACATGTCTATATCCTCCTCCGTCTAGAGTACATCAGATTAGAACTTCATGATGCAAGCTATGCAACCTGGACCCTTTTGCGCTCTGCGCCGTTGCTCTATAGCTGTACACGGGTGTAACTCCCCAGTCAAACAAAAGTTGGTTCCGTTTTCCGGATTAAAAAAGAGAAAGAAAAAAAAGAGGTCAACAGTGCACACGGGTGAAAAGAAGTTCGTAATATGTACTCAGAACAGGGTAATCGTCGCGTAGAGAGTTTGGTATCATCACATCTCTACGCCCACAAATAGAAGAATGACAGGCTAAAGAAAAGATGCTATCGCCTTCTATCCTATAACCTATGCCCTGCTGCTGCCGAAGTGACTGTTGACCTCGTTGATGAGGTTGTGAGGGTCGTACTCGGGAGCGTACGTCGGTGCCAGGCCGCCAAGCATGGTGAAGAGCACGAAGGCGGAGAACACAATGATGGTGAGCTTGCGGAGAATCGGCTTACGCTGGCCGAACTCGGCCCACTGGCGACCGCCCTCGCCCATGTAGCCCTTGATCTGCTCAAAGCCGAGCTTGTAGTAGACCATGCCACCGAGGGCAATGCTGTATCCGAAGAACTGGAGACCAGACACCTGAGTGCCCCAGATGGCCATGGAGGCGGCAACCAGCATGACATCCTTGAGGACACCGCAGAGAGTCAGGACCAGGGAAGAGGTCTTGCCGATCTAGAGATAGAGTTAGCAACGGCGATTGGCTGATTTCGGAGACGGCAAGACTTACCAAGAAGACGACGGAGACATTCAACAGGAAGGCGCAGAGACCGTTCAGGAAGAAGGTGAACAGGCCGACATTGTAAACCTGGTCCATGGTGACCTTGGGAACCTCCCAGATGAGAGCAACAGCCAAGTTCATGACAGCGCAGATGGGAGCAAAGTAGTAGACGGAAACCAGGGGGTCCATCTTGTAGTCGGCAGAGCTGAGCAGGCGCTGGACCATGGTCAAACGCAGGGCCTCGAAGATGACACCACCAATCTGGAAGATGACACCAATCCAGACGAACTTGATCTCGCCCATCGAAGCGATAATGACACCGACAACGATAACGGAGACGTTCAGGAAGACCTTGAGGTTGGGCGTAGAGACACCAAGGGCCCATCCAGAGAGGAGGACAGCGACGGGGGTCGTGGCCTTGAGCATCTGGATGAAAGCGACCGACAGGTACAGGTAGGTCAAGTTACCGCAGATCAAGCTCAAGCTGAAGAAGACGCCGATGGGCACGATGGCACGCACGTAGACACGACCAGTCATTTTAACCGACTTACGTCCGTCGAGAACGTGGGTCCAGCGAGCGAGGATCTGGGTCATGATGGTCGCGAAAGTCAAGTGGTAGGTTGTCAGAATAACCGGGTAGCCTGTAATCAATCAGCGTGCTGTTCGAAGCTCCAAGCTTTCGTCTCGATCGGCTTACGGAAGTTGAGGGTGTCGAGAATCCATTTGTTGAACAGAATGACAGATGAGGACAGCGAGATCCAGACACTGCGAGCAAATTGGGTCAGTAAACTATCGCAGCAGCAGTAAATAGAATCTCTGAATTCTTACATGACGTAGAGAGCGGGATGGATCTGAGGACCCTTGGACTGAGGAGAGGACTTCTCAGCGTCCTGGTTCGTGGTAGGCAGGATAGAGCCGTTCTCTCCACGAGGAACCTCGCCTGAAACACGCGTCTTCTCGTCGGCACCCATTGTGACGGTTTGGTGTGCGGAATGGGGGAAGGGGAAGTAGGGGACGAGTAGTTGAGGCGGACGGAGATTTGATTGAGGTCGTCGGTATTGGCGGTTGATGTTAATGTAGGAGCAAGTTGGTACAACTCGAGAGCAAAAAAGACGAGACGCGCAAAAACGAGAGCGAGCGAGTGGACGGGACGGCCAAGCAACTCGTTAAAGGTGTCGTGGGGTAGGCGACAGGTGCTTTAACAGTATGCGATGGGGGTCCCCAAAGTTAGACGTTAACGGACACCTGTGGTACCTGAGCCAGTTCAAACCTTGGAATGGGGCTGAGCACGGCTTTGTGAATCTGTAACCTATGGTGAAGGAAGAATGAGAATCGAAAGAGAAAAAAAAAAGCCGAAAGCAGGAAGCTCTTGACAACCAGGACCCTACGGGAAGAGTTTAATAGAGGTCTGAAAAAGAGGACAGCGGCTGCTTGGAGGGTGTTAGAAAGGGAAAGGGGAAGAAGGAAAGAAAAAAGAGGAAGGGGGTGGGTAGGCGAGGTTGTAGTGCAGCAAAGATATGGATGCCCCCCGGCAATTAGCAGCGATGGGCGTGAGAGAAAAAAAATCGATTTCTTCGTCTGTAGTGTATTCGTAGGTATTTCCCGCCCCTCTCTCTCTTTCTTTTGCCTTTTCCCTTCCCTTCTCTGTGGTGTGTTTACCGCATGCGTACTGTGTGGTAGGTACGTGTGTAGTTGCGTAGGTACCCTCTCTCTCCTTGCTCTTGCTCTTGTTCTGGAAATTGAGGTTCACGTTGACGCGATCAAGCCCGCCCAATCCAGGATCCGGCAGGCGATGTACAGTCACGGATACTTGGTAGAGTGGAGCGGCCCACCCGCCAGCAGGTGTTGGCACCTTGGCCGGAGCGCAGCCCGCATGTATCTGGTACAGGGAAACGATACCCACGCCCCACTCTGCAACTGTGAGGGAGAGAGCAGGATGGAGGGGGGAGCCACTTGTCCAGACAGAGACTCCAGACTCCAGTGTCGGCCGTGGCAAGCGTGGGTGCGACTGCGTGGTACGCCACCCTCTCAGGGGCTCCGATGGGACTAATATTAGTGCTGCCAATCTTGGATAGGGGCCGCAAATCAAGCTCTGCCCGCTCACCCACGTTCTTCTCCTTGGCATCTCACCAACGACGTGACTAAGGTAAGGTACCACGGCATCTGGCTCTCTCTCCGTCTCTCTCTCACCTCAGAAGTCAGAACCTTGAATCATAGTGGGTGAGCAGGTCGGACGACGCCGATGGCGCTGCCGATAGAGTTAGGAAGGTCGTTTCTGCATGGCTCAGCACAGCAATAGCTATGAAGATCAATTGTTGCTAAGTGGTGCTTGACTCTTGTCTATGAACCCTCATGAAAGTGTCCCGCTTGCTATGGATACCTTCAAGAACACTACCACCACCTAGTCCTATTGAGACTCGAGAAACAGTATATTGTGGCAGGCACTCGATATTACATTGGACTGCATCTCATGCAGCTCCTGTCCCCTTGGGCTGTAGTCTGTAAGGGTACATGTACCTTGCAGCCAATCCGGCCGTTTACAGATCCAGTACCATCACCACCATTATCCATACAACCCCCATTGTGCTATCGCTGCTGTGCTAGGCGAAAAGAGGCTCTTTCTGTTGGTTGAGAGAATTGGACGATTGCTCCGAAAGGGGGGCCAATCCACCCCGGCCTCGCCTCAGTCTTGCAGTCTCACACTTCGGGCCTTGACCTTACAGCCGTAGCTAAGGCAGGTCTCGGTCAGGTCTTGTCGCCAGGGTCCAAATGACATCTCTATGCGTTTGTCACTTGTGGCAGTGGCATCGTTCCCGTCAGGTCTGTCTACTCCGTAAGGCCATGGTCTCTACGGAGTAGCCATGTGATAAACAAACCCGCCTTTAAACTCTGGAACTCGGACGGATCGTTAGAGCTAGTATCCGTGTGGTAGGTATATAAACTGCCATTTATGACTATATTTGGTGACATCGGTTGTGTATCTGAGATCTGGACGCACTATCTCTCAACGCTGCAATTTAAAATAATCTCAAAAATAAGCTAGAAGCCGCAGGAGGAAAGAAGAGAAGAAACTTGCTTCCCTTGGAGGGAGGCTCATGCATTAGCACCATCCATAGCATCCGTAGTCCGTACGGCTTCTTCCCGTCTTCTACGGCAGGCACTAACTCGTTATTCTAACATGATGGCATAAATCCTAGTATTGTCACCTTCCTCGGTTGTAATCAATGTCAGACTTGCGCTTGCTTTACTGGTTACAGACCCTTCTCGAACACGTGCGGTTCAACATCCCTCCTTAGGTTCCTTCCGTCACTATCCGTATCAGTCAGTGCTTCCTTCTCGCTAGGTAAGGTACCTTGGGACCACGGTGCCTTCCAGGTTTGCGCGGGTAAGACCGCTCCGGATGGGATGCCGTCTGTAGTCGCACCTTCCATGCCACCTGCATTTCCACATCTCAGGGTCTCAGACCCCCAAGACGTTGTCTTCTCTTCCTGAGTCTTTCAACCTGCGAGGCACCTTGACACCTGGGACAAGTACGGAATACGAACAAGGTCCCCGAGGTATCACCCGACCCAGTTTGTCGCCTGTACATGCAACTCAACTCACTCTTCCGTTTCCTGTCGCCTGTTTCCAAGTTGATTGCCCTTTCATCCCACGAGTCGCGAGTTGGTGGGACCCCAGTATTTTGCACCTACGGCCCACCTTACCCAACCTGGTTTTTGGATCGTCCAACGACTGACAAGCACAGCCCTCGCTCTCGTTCACGGTTGTTGTTCTCGTCGCCTGCAAGGACCGAATCCGTCGACATGTCGGTCATCAGTGTGCCAAATTGGTGATGAGTTGTTCCGGAAAGCGGAAATCCGGGACGTGGGTGCTGGTCCATGGGTCGCGGCTTCAAGCTGCCCCCTGGTCCTCCCATCGCCCTACTCTTAAAGATGGGACGCCGTCTTCGCCATGCCACGCCGTGAGGCGCCTTTCGGGTTCCCTCGGACAGATGACAGATCGTGGACACCGGCCGCTTGGGTCATTTGGGCCCGGGAGGCTGAAGCTTGCTCGTCTCAAGCCCTCCATGCTTTCGGCCATCATCTCCCGGCCCCGAAGAGTTCATTCCAACTTCTGCGTCCAGCCAGGTCTCACTTCAGCCTTATTCATACTGCCTCTTGCGTGGCTGCTACACTTACCGTACCAAGTCATTTCTCAGTACGACCATGTCCAAACTCAACGGTGGCGGGTGCCGTGTGGCATGTAGCATGTGGCATGCGGCACGACAATTCAGATACCAGAGCCGACAACGAAGCCTCGACTCGACATGCCGTTTCTGCAGATGCAAACCATCGATATGTGGTGCCCTCAGAAAGCTTCGAATTTGTGTTTGCGACAAGGCTGCCACTTTCATCTCGGAAAGGCTGGCACGGCTGGCAAATATTATTGGGCCCATTCGGCTGGATCTGCTAGAAGGGCCATGCACATTGGCTTGCATCTCCTTGATGTTGCTATTTGTGTTTTTGGCCGCGGGGTTGCAGCTTGCTGTACTACATCAACTCGTGACCTAAGCATACAACACCAGGTATCCGAATATTCATCAGACGAAAGTACCTCCAGGTCGCTCGATGTTACATATTCGTACTCGCTCGACGGATGAGTGATCACAGCCTCGATACCAAGCATTCTGTCAGCCAAAGTCTCCGCTGCAATTCTCCAGCTGGAGCTGCTGTTATTAGAAACTCAGTGTTTGGAGTGCTTCCCTGAATCGGCGGCTGATCAAGTCGAGGTTCATGCGGTGCCCCGAAACTGGCCAGGCTGATCTACAAGAGGCCCAGTTTGTCTGTTTCAGAATATTGATGAGATGGGTCCCGTATCCCTGTGCCGGCTGCCGGGCAGGGCACTCCAGTAAATGTCTTGTTCGGGGGAGAGGCCGTCTTTCAATACTGGAGTACGGAGTACGGAGTATGGAGGTGGTGCTGGGGACGACAAGCGTGCGCGAATGCACGCACACGGAGATGCCTAACAAATGGACCACTTGCCAACTGACGGACCGATGGTCAACAGTTGTTGATCGACTTTCACAGCCTCCTTTGCTGCTCCGCAGATGAGAGGCAGGGGCAATCCCGCATTGGGATGGAAACGTCAATCGCCAACAACGAAAGCTGGGCCAGCTGGCAAGGGACCCAGAACGGCGTCTGTTTGTAACAACTACCGACGGATCGAAATTAAGTCGGCCTACTCCATCAACAGTCCAACGCGGACCCAGCGATGACGACAACAGACCAGGAGTGAAGAGAGTGCACGGGAAGATTTCCCAGATTGCTAGATGTTCAAACGGTGGCACTTGGCCCGAGTGTTGTCTGTCTCTCAGTCCCTTGCACTGCTTTGCCCTGGCTCATCTTATTTCCTTAGTACACAAAGCATGACAAGCTCACTGGCTCCGTGGGGGGAACATGGGCATTGGCAAGGCGAGAAGAAATAAGAAAGACGGACTTCAAATCTCTCGAGGCGACGATCGCTGGCTGAAAGGCGAGATGCAGACCACCTCGCACCAGTGCGGGAAACAACGATATCCCTGCCCGCATCTTGATTGGCGATGCACGAAGTTGATGAAAATGAGCAGATGGAACATGGGCTTTTACACGCAGGCGATTGGAGAGCCCCATCCCGCTAGGATAAAGTGCGGGTAGAGGCGACGGGACACTGAATCACAAAACTGCTGGCGTCCCTTTTCGGCTTGTCTTACTGGCGCAGAAGCAGAAGTAGCTTGAGGCGCGCCGGCATGAACGTGGTCCAAAACGTCGACGGATATCACGTTTCGGCTCTTTGTACTTATTCGTATGGAGCAAAGGTACGGCTGGGTATTTGTCTGCGACTCAGGCTCGGTCTTGGACGCGTACCCGACTCATGGAGAACCGCCGAGTTGTCGCCAGGCCGAACGGTTCATATTAAGCCATGGTGTCATTGCTGCCGTGCGGGACAACAAATTGAACAAATTGAGGCAAGTTTGTTTTGCTGCTTTGCATGACGGGTTCTTGACGAGCTGCAGCGTGCCCACAGAGGTGGGATTGCGCTCATCTTATGAGATTACACTGAGCAGGGTTCCGTTATCGAAGATATCGCAACTCGGCTTAGGGCTCTCCAATCTAGACAATCTCAAAGAAGGCGGGCTGCAACAGGTCCAGACTACCTTACCTTAGGCGCCCCGTACTTCATGTCACCATGGAGGCTCTATAGCACGCGAATCAAACCACACAAAAACGTGGTCGACCATCTGGCTAATGTCCGAAAGATAGCCAAGATGAGTCGAATCCTTCCCCGGCCAACCATACCAACTTGGTTGGTCAAACCCCACGGTCCACGGAAGGATGACAATGTGGCGGGAGCGGCAGCGGCAGCGGAAGGTACACAGACACACACGTAAACAGTGACAGGTGAAGGCTTGAAGCCCCGAAGTCTGAGAGTTTGAGCGAAATGACGGACGGCAGCTGCCCGACTGGGAAATGGAGGCGAAAACAACGTGTGAATGCAGATTGACAGTGGGTTTGAGTCGAATTATCAAAAATTATTAGCGCAAGCCACATCGAAGGTCGAACCCACTTCCGAATGGCGGAGAGATTGGCACGCCAGCATCTGCCATCCGGGAACTGACAGTTCACGGGTCAGAGAAGCGCCGCTCATTGCCAGGACAGTATAGAACGGATTCAGCCAAACACCTTTTTTGGGCAACGGCCGAAGTTGTCGAAGACTAGGTGCTTAGAGCAACAACGAGTTAGCCCGAAGAGGATCGTGAACTTCAGGAGCCAGCACAGGATCTGCGTTGCCGGGAGTCCGGGACAGGGTAAGGAGCGGCAACGGGCAGCAAAGCCAGCACCAACAGCGTCCGACAAACTGATGGATAATTGACCATTCGGAAGCCTTGCTTTGACTGCAGGACCAGGGACCCTGCAGAGGACGAGAGGGAGAGGCACAGAGGGTTGCTGTCGATGCCCTTGGGTCTTTCTGATCCCTCTCTTCTGGTTTACCGGCAGCTGATGAACGTGCAGCATCGACGGGACCAACGCACTGTATCCCCGACGGGAGGCGGTCAACAAGAGACGTGCAGATAGGTTACCATCGCCTTGGCGGTCTGTCACCGTCTATGAGAAGGTGGGTGGGTGTTGACTGGTGGGTGCTGCGGCGCGCGAACGGTGTGCATCGCCATCGAGGCCGAATTAAATTGGAGATTTTCATCAATCAGAATGATGAGCAGCGGCCATGAGGCGTGTGTTTCCGAGTTTCGCGACGACCCTCCTATGACTACGGGTACGCTCGACATAGATTCGAGATTGGGTTGTGAACCTTGTGTGCTCTTCCCTGTGCCCGTCTGTCGTTGATTACACTACGGACGATCTGCATGTTGGGAAAGTCAGTTTCTCTGAGGTGTCAAATTGGTAGGGTGACTTGGGTAATAAGTCTGCTGCAGTCTGCTCTGCTTGTTCCCGTCATGCCTGCCCGCCTTTATCATTCTTTGTCGACACTTTGTTAGGAGTCTCTAGCTAGCACTCTGCCCAAGCATAGTATCCGCAACCTACGTCTATGATGGAGGGGTTGCAACTTGCAACTTGCGGGACCTATCGAAGGTGGATCATAAACTGTTCCTCTTGGGCTCTTCCAGCACCAACCCCTACTAGTGTATTGGAACGGGTTGGCGGGTGCGTGTGCGTACGTGGTAACTGGGCACCTATGGGGGGAGGGGACGAGTGTGGGAAAAAAAAAATTGGGAAAGAGAGGAACGTGTCCTCGAGTCCTTGGGGAAGCGAAGACGAGTTTGCCTCCACATCTCTCTCCATTTCCCGGTTTCCAGACCGCACACAAAAGAACTGTGGATAGGAGGAACAGGACAAACCAGACCAGACCAGACCCGGGCGGATGGCGGGTGTGTGGCCCATATCCCTCCTCCATCCCACCTTTGAACCTCAACACGGGCCTGATCTCGGATCATACTCACGCTCACGTCTATAATGCCTCACTCTGGACTGTTGAGAGCTGATTCAGCCCGTGTCTCTCGAGGCTTGGTCTCAGTCACCCCCTACGTGCGGGTGGTACGGTCATAATCATATGTCCAAGTGCCTTTGCATCGCCAGAAAGCAAGGAAAAAGTCCACTCGTCTCTTATGATGTCGTCCGCGAAGCCAATTACAGACAACCCACACTATCAACTCTGTAACCCGCCGTGGGTCGCAGGAACTTGCCCAGGCCCCGGTGCCGCTACTGGAGAAACTTGGAGACTGGAATGCGGTATGTGTATCCGTACGGTCTGTCTCTTGAGCGGTGCGCGATGGTGGACAAGCTTCTGGTTGCTCCACTGTTGTGGCTGTAACATTGGCATCCCGTCGTTTTCTCGAGCCTCGAGTGAGTCGAGAGTCTTGAGTTCCTTCCCCCCTGTATGGACAGTGGTGAGCATTACGGCCGCCGCGTCTTTCTTCTTTCTCCCGCTCCCACATGAAATCATGAATGCCCAGACTCTCAGACTCCTGGAGCCGAGAGGTTGGGGGTTCATATGAGCAAGGGGGCATGGGAAGGAAGCAAGCACAAGCGTGTGGCGAGCCAGCACGAGGGCCCGGCCTGGGGTTGCGGTTCGCTGCCGTCCGCGGCGCCTGTCGACGTTCCCGTTCCAGTTTTGCTGTGCAGGCCAGGCCAGGCCAGGGCCAGACCCCTGGAAGGAGGAGGAGAATGAGATGGTTTGTCTTGGCTGATGACGGACGAGGGAGCGAACTTGGTGCGGGCTGTCTGTCATCTGCGGGATGGATAGATGGAGTGACGGCACGGGATAGTAAGAGTGAGTGCTCCCATGGACAAAATAATGGTAAATGCTAGCATTGCCATTCGGCGGCGGTTGCCACGAGGTAAGGAGAGTTTCTGTCAAATAAGACCTTGTCTCAAGTATTCAGGACAAGATGCGCCGGGACGTAGGAAACGTTTTTATTATAGAGACGGGAAGTACACGCTTGGCTACTTGCTTTTTACTTGGAGCCCTTTTGGTGACGGCGAGGCATGTGGTGGCTGCAGATAAAGTAGATTCGCCGCCAGCCGCCAGTCCGGTTCCTTAGGTGCTTAGGTATAGCAAGCAGCAACTCTGCCGTACTGTGTACCGGGATGTCTCCACCTCGTTGACCACACGTCGTTGAGCCTCGACTCTAGCAACCCAATTGGTGATGAGGATCTACAGCAACAGCAGTATCTTGAAGAGAAGAGGCAATTGGCAATGTTGACTGCACCCTTCAAATGGCAGTAATACTGAAGCGTGTGTTTCCGGCAGCAGTGGTGTCAATGTTGCGATATCCCACAATGTGGGGGCGTGTCTAGAAGAGAGCGCGGCTTGCGGCGTGCCTTCCATGGTGGACGGAGCATCTTGGAACATGACACTAGGAGCAACGGTACGTACCGCCTGGCACTTGGCACCATGGACCCATGAAAGACACCAAATGTGAGCTTCATGTCCTTGACCAGGGGGCCCCGCTAAACCCCTTGTCCCAAATAATAATTTAGCCCCTCCATCACAGTTGCGGTGCGGGAAAGGAAGCAGGAAGTAACAACGCAGCAGCAAGTGGCAGCAGCAGCACCACCGGTCACCACCATCATTTCCTGC